CACACACACACACACACACACACACACACACACACACACACACAAATGTGCACACTCCTGATGCCTCACACCTTCTGTATCTTTCTGTCTCTGTTTGCTCTGTAACTCAGAAGTGATTAGTTTAAACCTTATTAGACAGAGGAAGAGCTTTAGAAAGGACTGGATAGCACTGCAGTGGCACAAGAGTTTAGATCATTTCCACACGCTGCTGCGGTCGTCATGATTTTACATCTCAGATGTGCAGAGAGAGAGAAGCGCCAAAAGCTAGCATGATGCCACAAAGTTTCATGAGTTTGAAGTTGGAATGTTTTCTCCTTATATGAGCAACAATAAATGTGCCATTAATGATCAATAATCACAGTAAGAGCAATCAAAAATCTTGAAAGTAACAATTTTGTCAGCACACAGACTTTTAAGATAAACACACATCCTGGAGCACGAGAAACAGCCAGTCCAACTTTTACGGTGCTATTTGATTTTTACATATAAAAGTTGGGGAGTCCTGTGAGTAGAAGATTTTATGGCAGAACGAAACTCCACCAGCTCACTCCTGAATGTTAAGCAGGAAGGTTTAGAGGAGAAACTGCTACAGATTCTATCTGAACTGGAAGTCCAACTGCACATTTCGCACACCAGGTGAATGCCTCACTCCTTTCCACTACTCTCTACTTAGTTCTACATTTCATCCCTCTTTTGTTTACTGCAGTGTCACAGCACGGCAATAATGGCAACTCGGAGCTCAGAAAAAAAAAAACTACTGGGAGGGTGGGTGGTATTTTCAGGTGCTGGAACGGAGGAGTGCTGCAGCTTCTCCATGAGGGAGTGCATCTTTGGGAATGAAAAATATAGAGTTTAAATTGCTGCTATATATATATTTTGGGAATATAAATTACCCCCCCCTTTGGTTGATTCATTTGTCAAGGAATTTATCCCACATGTGAGAGTATTTATGAGTTCACTAAGTTTATTATTACTGAGAGAACCAACCTGTTTTCTTTCTCCTCACATTAACGTGGTGGTGCTTTTGTTTCATTTTGCTGGTAATAGGAAACGAGGTGAAGGAAGGTGTAGCTGTCAGTGCCAGGCAGCTGACGGTGACACTGACAGCCCTCGGCTCAGACTGCAATTGGCAGGAGGGGCAGATGCTGCTGGGTTCATGGTTAAATGGTACAGAGTCACATATAAGGGCTATTTTCACCATAACCTCTCCTGTCACTTTGCCCTGAAACTGTTCTCATCAGTGTTGTCATTCATGTCATCATGTCACTCCCCCCAGGCCTTGAGTTTCTGACAAATGAATCAACCAACGGGCATGAATGCATGGCCTGATTCTTGGAGCTTGAATATCTGCTGGATGGGATAGATTTTTGCTTGTTGTGTGTTCAATTAAAAAAAAAAACTTGCCTTAACCATGAATGAAAGTTAAAATAAAACATGTTTTCACCTGCATCTCACTTGTTTCTGGGGAGGCAGAAGAGTGCTGACACTTTCCAGACCGTTCTGCTATACAACTGTGACTGTATGTGCTGCTATCTCATGCAGTGATATTCCTCTCAAAGCCAAATAAAGACATTTATTAACCAAACACATGCTGCATCTCTGTGTGTTTTGTTGTAGACTGATAGAATAACATAAATGGGAGCAGGGTCTCACATTAGTTTGCAAAAATCTCAAGAAAGATATCAACAAAATTATATGTCAGTATAAATGACAATGCTGTTCAAAAAGATATGCATATATTAAATAGGAAGAAAGAAAATGATAATTATATGTTAATGAAATCTATTTGTTCAGTGCCAAACAGATTTAGGATGACTGCAATCAAAATAGAAGTGTAGTAATGCAAATGAACAAAAATGAGATGTAAAACCATATGTGGAGTCTATTTATGTGCAGCGTTGTACTGATAAAGCTGACAGTGACAAATCATGCAGCTAAAAGAGTTGCTGAAAGTGATTAAATATGATAATGACGATGATGAAAAAGGTGACTGACATTATGATTAAGATCCCAGAAAAGCCACAAATGAAGCCTGTATTTATTAATAACTCAGTCTCCTCTATCAGTGTGTGCTCGCGCCTGAATCCTGTTGAACCTGAACATCCCGCCATCTTGTGAAGCCATTTATTCATATCCAAGGCCATTCAGCAGCTGAAGTCTTTCCCAGCATGCTTTTGTGGGAGAGACAGTCACAGACACTAAAAGAAGCACAATGCTTTTACCTTTTACACTTCACCTGCTATTCCCACTGCCTACAATACCTGCATTCATTGTATATAGACAATGCTCATACATTTTCATTCATTTCTTAACTTTCAAATCACACTGCAGCTGCTTTCAGTGATGGAATTGAACCAACTACATATACTTAAGTACTATACTTAAGTACAGATCTGAAATACTTGTACTTTATTTGTGTGTTTCCATTTTGTGCAACTTTTTACGTCTTCTCCATTAAATTACAGAGGCCATATTTGCACGTTTTACTCCACTGCATTAATCTTACTTTTCAGATCCCAAATTTTCCTGCCCTTTCTGTCTAATGAAAAACATTTATCTCCAAATGCATCAATTTTGAATGTTTTTGATAAACTGACAGATTGGGAGTTCCTTTGTGGGTTGACAAAACTGTTAAAGCTAAATGAGCAATTTATGAATCCCCCAGGATTAGCTGGAAGACATGTCAACACAACAGTGGAAACAGGCTGTTTTTCTGATTTGATGAAAAACTGACCTTTAAGAGACACATAATTCTCTCAAAACAACATATTATGATCTTATAGAATGTGTTGCATTGCTGTAGTTTAAACTACCCAACAGTAGATGAAGAAGTTAAAAAGAACTCAACCATAAACATTCACAGCAGTATAATGTGACATGCACATTAAAGCAGCAGTGATATTAATCCAAACGCATCATATATGATAAAAGTGACACTGACAGGAAAGACTTTACAGCACAATGACTACTTTTCACTTCTTACACTTCTCTTTTAGTAAGGTTTACAATGCAGGCTGTTATTAGTAGTGTAGTATCCATAGTGTGGTATTAGTACTTCTGCTCAGTTAAGGATCTGAAGTCTTCTTTCACCGCTGATTGCTTTCAGTGACCCTGTATCTGCTGTTACTGCAAATTCTTTCAACATATTAATTTCAGCTGAAATCTTTGCACATGCATTTTAACTGACATGTCTGCTTATTTTGTCGCTTATGTTTCATCTGACAACAAGTTAGCATCTTTAATTGAGAGAATATTGTTTTACTCGTTGTAGAACTGCATTGAAAAATACTACAAGCATCAGAGAGATGATAAGAAAAAACTAAAAGAGGATAAATGAGTAAAACTTTCACTTTGAGGCCAGCTGTTACTGAAGCTGGTGTCCGCTCATTTCCTCTCACCCACACAGAAAGCATAGTGTCCACTTCTAATCCTACGACTGCCTCCAGGTTGTAGTCAATACCTCAAATGGGGTGAAGCTGTATAAAGTGCGACTGGTGCTCCTATCGGCTCATCTCAGCCTCCTGCCTGCACCCAGAGGTAAAAGATGGGCCCAGCTAAGATGGATGGCAGCTGCCAACGCTGGCCAACCAGCACAGCTGTCAACAGCAAGAACTTCATCACAGCCTGAGACTGTTTGTTTAGATGCTCACCGACTGTAGTCCTGTGTGTGTGTGTGTGTGTGTGTATGTGTGTGTGGGAGGTAGAATCCACACAGCGGCAAAAACATTATCAGCACGAAGAGACAATCAATAAAAGTGTCAGAAAAGCAGGGGAAGGAGCGAGGATTAATGTTTTTGACTAAAGTATAAAATGAAAAAGAGGACACGTGAGTTTCAGGAAAAGCAAATGCAACGTGATCCAGCTTGCTCGGGACAATCAATAGGAAGTTAGATTGGATACTGTCTGAGATAGATCACCATAATGCTGTATTAACACCGTCTGTGTGTCGAGTTTAACTCAGCATCTTTTGGCATGTTTTTCATTTTACACGCACCCACCAGAGCCTGTGTATCTGCAGAGGGTAACGATACTTTCCAAATGTTTGCCTGAGGGGGAACACTAAGACACGGTTTTTATTAGGCTTTTTATTTCTAACATAATGAACCCTCCTCTGCTCAAAGCTGCAAAGTTGCAACGACTATATAAAACAGTGAAAAGTATGTGTCTTGTATTCCTTCTCTTTATTCTATAGATGTTTACTGATAGAAAACTTTACTTTTATTGGAAAGTAGAATACACTTGATTTAAAGGGATGGGGTTTTTTTAGTGCTGCAAAAATGCAACAGTGGGCGTCACTTCACACAAAAGATGCTGTGACAGAATCATGAGTAAATATGAAAGTTAAAGGTTCTACCTGCATACACCCACCAGTCACTTTATTAAGAACATTCACACGGCTGCAAGGTGGCACAGTTGGTTAGCACTGTTGCCTCGCAGCAAGAGGGTTGCCGGCTCGTGTCCTGGTGAGGACATCTGGGATCTTTCTGTATGGAGTTTGCATGTTCTCCCCGTGCAGCGTGGGCTCCCCTCCCACAAGTCCAAAAACATGTTGAGGTTCATTGGTGATTCTAAATTGTCCGTAGGTATGAATGTGAGTGTGCTTGGTTGTCTGTCTCTAAGTGTAGCCCTGTGATAGACTGGTGACCTGTCCAGCCCCCCCGCGACCCTAGTGAGGATTAAGATATAGATAATGGATGGATGGGATGCTTTTTGACTGGAGGAGGAAGCCGGAGAACCCGGAGAGAACCCACGCTGCACGGGGAGAACATGCAAACTCCACACAAAAAGATCCCAGGCGTCCTAACTGGAATGCGAACTGGGGATCTTCTAGCTGTGAATCTGCCTACAGGTGCTTCCCTCAGAACACTCTGCATCAGGTGAAACACACCTGATATCTTTGAGCAGTGACAGCAGCAGTACGGTGCTTTTATAAACTGAGTTTCTTTACCACCTCTGTAAAAGAAGCCACTATGTGGAGGGAAGCGGCCTTCCTCTCTGCTCTCAGCTCGGTATGATTGATGCTCATCTCTCTCAGCGGCACAACTAGAGTTATGACTCAGCACGGACCTCCATGGTGGGGAGTCAGACAGGGAGCGTGTCAGAGGGCAGATTTATTGAAAATTCAACAGTCCGATCAATCTCTCAGCAGCTCTGCAGGCCTGTGGCCTCACGGCTGGACTGTGGAGTCGTCCTTGGTTTGGCCGCGCTGCTGTGTGCTGAGCTCTGCTGTCAGCAGATTCTGTTGTTGTGGAGGTGCATACATAATTGACCCGCCCTCCTCCTCCTCCTCCTCCACTGCCCTCCTGAGACCCTTTGAGATAAAGCAATAAATACTGAACCTCAGCGTTAAAGAAGCAGCCTGCCCTGTTCCTGTTGCTGGAGGTCCACAAGCATGTAATTATGTTTCCTCTTTAAGGGAGTTAGTGGAGAACACACTGCTCAGTGTCCTTGTCATCGTGAGCGCTGACACCTTCGTGATGATGATGATGATGGAGTATCTGGGGTTTTTAGGAGCAAAGTGAATGTTTCACAGCTTTCAGTTTGCACAGATAGAAATGTATTTTAGTAAGACATGGAGGTGAAAGTTTAACATAACAGAGCAGAGGAGTGTTTTCTGTGAGCTCGGTGTCAGTTCAAGGATTATTCTTGTCATTTATTGTTTCCCTCCGTCTTGTCCTTTCCCCCGTCTCCGTTTATCCCTCTGTCTCGTTGTCCGTCTATGTCTCTCTCCCCCCCTCTCTCTCTCTCCCTCTAACTCCATTGCTATATATAGACTTCTGCATTGCAGATGTCCCAGAGCCCTGCAGTTCTGGAGGAGCTGCTGAGGAGTCCCAGCCAAAATTTGGGCTTCCTGACACACAGAGCCCACGCAGGCGAGCAGCAGCCGACTGACTGTGCACCACAGGACGGGACACATACAGCATGACCAGACTGAACACAGGAACACTGAGCATGTACAGTCATCGCACTGCAGCAAGGATGAAGTGCCCCCCGCAGAATAGAGTGAAAACTACTGCAGTCCTAATCTTTGGGTGGGTGGATGTGTGAGTGTTTAGTGTCATAATAATTGTCTGAAGCAGTTTCCTTCTGGTTGTTGCTTTAGTAGAATTGTTAACAATGACTAAATTGCTTTTCTGGGAATTCCTTCAACCAAAACAATACATTTCACATTGTGTGTTTATTCTAAAGCACTTTTTAAAATCTAGTTATATCTAAATAATATGCAAATAAATAATACATTTGTTGAAGTACTGCATCAAATATAACATCAACAAAATAACTACAAACAGCAACAGATGAAACCCTTTAAACATGATCTGAAGTATAGCAAAGGCAGTTATTAAAGAGCTGAATGCCACAGGAATAAAAAAGATAAAAGAATGAAACAAGAATTTAATGAGGACCTGTGGGCACTAACATCAAGGTTCATCAGTGGTTAATAAATTAATAAATACTGACAATAGTTTCTCTTGTTCTCAGGTAATAAATCCCAACAACACCAGTCAAATTAATAGGACAGCATAGGAAAAATAAATCATTAGTATGATACATCATGTAGTCATGGCTAATTGTCAGCTTGTGTCAAGTATTTACAAAGAACCTGTCAACAACAAGGCAACTCAAACATTAGACATTAAAGAAATAAGACATGATATAAAAGGAAGACAAAATAGTATAAAGAGACTCATGTAAAGAGGATTTGAAAGGATTAATTAGAAGATAAAAATAAGGTGGGTGTGCCCGAAGGCAGAACATCGCTGGAGTATGAGCAGAAGCAGAATATTGTCTGCTCACAGATTTAGTTATTCTGTTTATCAGTAATCGGTAGTGTTTCATGCTTTAAACATTAATCTCTTATCCCTGATAATGCAGAGACCTGTCTCGTCATAATTCATTCATTCATTCATTCATTCATTCATGAGGTTGCTACAAACCATTTAGAAAACTGAGAGCAAAAATCAGTGAAAGTCCTGCAGATCACTCCATCAGAGGAACCGAAACAATGATTAGTTAACCTTCGAATTCGACTCAGGATCCTGAGACTGTCTGAGTGATGCATACAAATGTGAACTGCTTCACTCTGATGATCCTGAATAATCCTGCTCAGTTTCACGGCCTTGTTAATGCTCATTCACCTCCGACTCTGGAGAAAGCCAACAGTCTCCGGTGTGATGTCAGATCCTATTGAACTGTTGTATTTGGGCAGCAATGCTGCTCACCCTTTCACTTCTACTGCAACAGCGGTAGGCCATTAAGTATTTATAACTGCTGGCTGCTGCCAGGCCACGGAGCTGACACGCACAGAGGCACACACACACACACACACACACACACACACACACACACACACACACACACACACACACATATAGTGAGCATTTGCTGCCACTTGGCGTTAAAGGTACAAACTACAGATAATTTCAGAGGCAGGATCCACACTCTACAATCTAGTGTTCAGGGACAT